CGCGGATGAAACGGCATTGAGCTGGACTGAGCGTGATTAAGCCGCTTTCGGCGGGATTCAGCCGGATGAAGCCGCCGGACCAGGGCAAAGTCAGAATTTGACCTCCCAGGAGTTGCATCCGAACGAGCGGCTCCCTGAGGGCTCTAGGGCCTGAGGCCTCGGCCACCGAAGCTTGGAGAAGAGTCGGCGGCCATGCCGCGTGTGCCTCGAGCCGCAAGACCTCTGGGTCTGCGTGCACGGCGTCCACCGGGGCCGTAGGCGACCCGAGGAGGAGGAGGATCAGGAGGATGAGGAGGTGGAGGAGGGGGAGGGGGATGATGATGATGATGATGATGAGGAGGAGGAGGAGGAGGAGGAGGAGAAGGAGAAGAAGAAGCAGGAGGAGGAGGAGGAGGAGGAGAAGGAGGAGGGAGTAGGGAAGAGGAGGAGGAGGAGGAGGAGGAGGAGAAGGAGGAGGGAGAGGAGGACGGGTCGCCTCAGCCCTTCGGAGAAACCCTCCAGGTCTGCGGTGGTAGGTCCCCCCCAGGCCAGGATTCCGGGGGGGATCCAGCCGAGGCGACGTTGGAACCTCCCGCAGGTCCCACAGAGCCTTTTCTGGGGGAGGGGAGGGAGGGAGGAGGGAGCGGACCACTGCAGAGGACGAGCGCGGCCGGGCGAAGAGCGATGGAAGGCGCCCAGACACCCGGATCATCGACCGTCGATCTCGGGAGGTCCCCGCAGAGGTCCTCGGAGGCCCACGCAGAGGTCTCCGGAGGCCCACGCAAAGGCCCCCAGGAAAGCCAAAAGCAGCTCCCAGACATTGTCACTGAAATCACAGTCCAGGGCCTCAGCCAGTCCTGACAAGTCCATGGGTCCAGAGTCCTGTCGCAGCTCGGGGGGCAAGGGCGGGGCCTCCCGAGGCCCCCGAAAGAAACGGGCCGAGAGCTCCAGCTGCCTCGAGGCTCGAACAGCGATGCTCCCGGAGCTTCTCGCGCTGCGGCACACAGGACGGGCGGTGTTCGCCAGACTTCGGAGCCTCCGGGGGCCCCGCGGGGCCCTGGGGACGTCGAAAAAGGGCGACTCGGGAGGAGGAGCCTGTCCCCAGGAATGGGTCGAGGGAAACGGGGGCAGGGGACGGAGAAGGGGCGAGGCACGGGGGAACGGGGGAGGAAGGAGGACGCGAGGGACGAGGGACCAGGGAGAAGCAGGGAGGGAGGACGGACAGCGGAGCCAGAGGGAGAAAGGGAGGACAGAAACGTGGCGAGGGGCGAGGGGCGAGGGATGAGCAAGGACAATGGAGGAGGGACGAGGGAGGAGCAGGGAGGAGGGGCGGGGGGCAGGAACGCGGCATGCGAGAGAGAGGCCCTGCGCCTTGGCGCGGGCGTTCGCTATCTTCTCCTGCTGGGCCCCCCCCGGGCTCGGCTCGACACGACCCGACCAGCACGGCGCTTCCCATCCAGGAAAGACCGAGGAGAAGAGAGGAAGAGGAGGAGGAGGAGGAGGTCTGATCAGATCAGGTGGCTCCTGGAAGTCTACTCGTCAAACCAGCCGTGTGATGATGATGATGATGATGATGATGATGATGATGATGATGATGATGCTGATGATGATGATGATGATGATGATGATGATGGTGATGGTGATGGTGATGGTGATGGTGATGGTGATGGTGATGATGATGATGATGATGATGATGATGATGATGATGATGATGCTGATGCTGATGGCGAGGATGAGGATGATGATGATGATGATGATGACAGTGGTAATGATGATGATGATGATGATGATGATGATGATGATGATGATGATGATGATGATCATGGTGATGAGGATCAGGATGATGATGACGGTGGTGATGGTGGTGATGATGATGGTGATGGTGATGATGACGATGCTAATGATGATGCTAACGACGATGATGCTGATGGTGATGATAGTGATGATGATGGTGATGAGGATGAGGATACTGATAATGATGATCATCATAATGATGATAAATATGATGATGATGTTGATGGTGATGCTGGTGATGATGATGACGATGGTGATGCTGCTGTTGGCCATGTTGATGATGATGACGACGATGGTGATGATGATGATGCTGATGATGATGCTGATGATGATGATGATGCTGATGCTCATGATGATGATAATGATGATAATCATGATGATGATGATGATGATGATGATGATGATGATGATGATGATGGTAATGATGATGATGATGATGATGATGATGATGATGATGATGATGATGATGATGATGATGATGATGATGATGATGATGATGATGATGATGATGACGACCCGAGCGAGCACCGCACCCTGTTGGGGATGGCAGCTTGGGGGATGAGTAGGTGGACGGAGGGGGAAGAGGAGGGAATACGGACGAAGTATGATGGTGCTGATGGTGTTGGTGATGGCGATGGTGAAGATCTGCTGCTGAGGCTGCTTCTGCTGCTGTCCATGCTGCTGCCAGTGATGATCATGGTGGTAGCGGTGGAATGCTAATTTCGTGGTCTGGGCGAATTTCTTGGATCGGTGCTGGACCGCCCCTCCTTGGCGCTCGGAGCGTGGCAGGGGCGGAGCCGGAGGCGCCGTCGGGGGGACCCAGCGCAGATCCGAGAAATCCGAGCGGACCTCCAAGGAGTTCTAGTCTCATGCTTCGGCCCCTGGCAAACTCCCGATGCCGAGATCGAAGATCAACACCCAGATGGAAAAACAACAATCTGATGAGTGCCGGAGCACGGCTTCACGCAGGAGTGACGCGAGGCAAGAATCAAGAATGACCTTTCATGCGCAGCTTCAGGGGGCCGCAGGGGAGCCCACTGCAAGCGCGCAAGCCAGGGCTTGGGGGGGGCCACAGCGTGTCCGCACCAAGGGCCACTCTGGCGAAGGGTCACTCCTACGAGTAGCCGACCGGCCCTGGCTGTGGACAGGAGCGCCCTGCGGGCTTTCATGCGCAGCTTCAGGGGGCCGCAGGGGAGCCCACTGCAAGCGCGCAAGCCAGGGCTTGGGGGGGGCCACAGCGTGTCCGCACCAAGGGCCACTCTGGCGAAGGGTCACTCCTACGAGTAGCCGACCGGCCCTGGCTGTGGACAGGAGCGCCCTGCGGGCTTTCATGCGCAGCTTCAGGGGGCCGCAGGGGAGCCCACTGCAAGCGCGCAAGCCAGGGCTTGGGGGGGGCCACAGCGTGTCCGCACCAAGGGCCACTCTGGCGAAGGGTCACTCCTACGAGTAGCCGACCGGCCCTGGCTGTGGACAGGAGCGCCCTGCGGGACGGGCCACCCGACGGGGTCGAGCCGGGCCCGGGAGCGGTGCTCGCCCGACCGCGTCCTGCTCCAGCTTGTCCTCCTTTGCCCGGACGGCGTCCCTCTCGGCCAGCGCCCGCTCGACCTGCGCGCGGGGTGCTCTCCCTCGGACGTGTGTCTGCTACCTTCGCTTACGGTGAGGGCATTGGATAAGGCTCTCGTCGACAAGGAATCGAGAGTCTAGAAGCCAGAGGAACTCCCATCGCGGATTGGCCATGGATATCACACCCGCGCTCGTTAGATAAGTAACTCTCTACGGTCTGAAGCTTCCTGGGCACACTCATTCACGAACGCCTCCACCGCACCGATGACGCTGCTCCCCGGACCCCTCTCCCGGGGTGCGTTCTGAGCAGGATTGCGAGGCGAAGCCAGCCGTGGCGATGACGGACTCCGAGGAGGCACACAGAAAAGCACAAACGAGGAAACGTAGCGGCATCGGTGCCTTTCCAGGACCCCAGATGTCATGATTTTGCCACACCGTCGACCACCAAAGGTCCCGACCCACTCCTCCGGACCAGCCTCTCATCCGGAGCCGTTTCCTGACGGTCCCGGGGCCCGGCGGAGGCTCCCAGAGCCAGACAGGACAGCTGGCACACAACCGCTCGTCGTGCTCCTGCCCATGACGCACGCAGACAAGCAAACAGACTCCCTCGCTGTGCGCTCGGGTACGCGACAAATGGGAACGATGCCCAAGAACGAATGCTCTGCAAAATCAGGAGCCTCCTAGATGGGATCGGAGTAGATGGTGTCGGATGGTCGCGCCGCATCGGCGATGCATCGGCGACGTCGCCGAGACATCGGCGCCATCGGCGTGGAGAAAATCGAGCCCAACATCGAGCAGCATCGCCAATGCATCGGCGATGCGGCGCGGTCGCCATTGGGCAGGCGGCCTTCTGCCTGAACCCCCCGGCGCGGCGCACGGGGCGAGCGCCACGGAAAACCTCTGGTCGGGTTTCCCTCCGGGGCCGTTTCCTTCATTGCGAGCCGTCCTGGAGAGATCTCGAGGTCTCTGCTGGCCTGTCATGGCCGACATCCTCGGTTCGGCCCCGGAGTGGCCAGGAAGGCGGGACGGCGGCGGGCGACGACGACGACGACGAGCAGGGCGAGGAGGTCGCCCTGGAAGGGGCCGGCTGGCCAGGGGTCGGCTCGGCTACTCCCGACTGTCCTGCCCTCCCCAGACCCCCGACGTCGTGACTTTCTCACAACGTCGACCCCCAGAGGTCTGGACCCTTTCCCCAGGACCTGTTTTCCATGCTGAGTCGTTTTTGGACGGTCCCGGGGCCCGAGAAGGGCCCCCGGAGGCCGAAAATAATGGAAAACCTCGCGTCATGCTTTGTTCCGGAAGCCGAAAAGAACGAAAGACTTCCCGTCATGCTTTGGTCTGGAGGCCGAAAAGAATGCAAAACTTCCCGTCGTGCTCTGTTTGCAGCGCGAGGGGGTCTGGGTCAGGGGCCACATGCGAACCCTACCCCTACCCCCCACGATTTCTGAGGGGGAGGGTGGGGTTCACTTCGCTTGGGAGCTCCCGAACGAAGTGAACCCCGCCCTCCCCCTCAGAAATCGTGGGGGGTAGGGGTGGGGTTCGCCTGCGGCCCCCTGTGGGTCAGGGCCCCACCGCCCTCGGGGCCCCAGCCTCCGAGCCCCCGCCAGCCTGCCCCCGAGGCCGACCGCAGCCCGCGCCCCCGCCCTGCCGCCGCCGGCACCCGGCGGCAGGGCAGGCTGAGATGGAGGAGGAGGAGGAGGAGGAGGAGGAGGAGGAGGAGGAGGAGGAAGGAGGAGGAGGAGGAGGAAGGAGGAGGGAGGAGGGAGGAGGAGGAGGGAGGAGGAGGAGCAGCCGTGAGGGGGTGGAGCTTCGGGCCGCAAGGCGCCCGGAGCGCGCCAGGATGCCAGAGCGCGGGACGCACAGAGACATACCACGGACTACGGCGATGGCATTGGAGAAGGAAGCCTTTGAGAAGGGATCCAGGGTCTGGAAGCCAGTGGAAAGCCGATCTTGGGTTGGCCATGGATATCAACGCCGCCCTCATCAGATAAGGAATCCTCCAGGGTCTGAAGCCTCCTGGGCACGTTCCTTAACGAACGCCCCCACCATAATACTGTCTGTCCTCCTTGGAGGCGCGCGTCCGATCCCGACATGTACTGTACCCATCTTGTAGTAGATCGTTTTTCGAGCGGCGTAGCCAGAAAGCGCCCGCCACAACGAATACACTATCAGATTTCTGGGTGCGCACGTCTCCCCTGGGGGGGCGACGCACACATGGTACTTGTACGTTGGGGTGACGCCGAGGGTAACCTTAGACCGCGGTGCCCTTGCCAGCTACACGCAAGAGTGACCCTAGGCAAGAGTGGCCTTTGGTACGCAGACCAAGGGGGCGCAAGGTGGCCAAATCCAGGCGCGCAAGCAGCTGCTGACGAATCGCGCTGAGCGATCGAGGAGGCCCCAATAAGCCCGCACGAAAGGTCACTCCGGCGAAGGATCGACCTCAGCGGATCACAAAGATCCAGGGATGCAGGGGGGCCCTGCTTCAACGGATCATCCTGAATGCCGGTTCTTGACTGTAGCTGCCATGAACAGTGGTGGTGGGTCGGCTGGTATTTTGGTATTTCCGCCAGCGCCCACCTCGTCGAGGTCCTCGAGCCAGAGCTGCGGCGGCTTCTTCTTCTTGAGCGCCTCCAGCTCCGACACCTTGGCCTCGTGCTGCTTCATGAGCTCCTCGATTTTCTCGGCCGTGAGCGTCGAGATCGGCATTCCGACCAAGTACTCGAAGTCTTTGATGCCTTTGGCCGTCGCCGCGCGCGCGGCGCTGCTACTGCTCGTGCCGCCTTCGCCCGCCTCCTCGTCGCTACCGTCGCCAGCGCCCTCCTCAGCATCCTCGTCGTCACCCTCTGCGTCCTCGCCGTCGTTGGCTTCCTCCTTGCCCAAGGCCAGCCCCTTCATCTCGTTCACTGGCTTAAAGCCGCGGCTCCGGATGTCCTGGACGAGGTCGTTGATCTTCCTCTTCTTGATGACCAGCTGCCCCGTGATCACCAGCTTGATGAACCGGGCCTTTGCGCTCAGTATCTCACTCTCGCGCATGAGCTTGCCGACCTGATGCGCCTTCCTCTTTTCGTACACGGACAGGCGCAGCGTGGCAAAGTCTGAGATGATGTCCAGAGGGTCGTCGTACTTCTTGATCCTGCCCTCGGCGTCGAAGAGCACCATGTTGGAGATCGGCACAGAAGACTTCAATCTAAACATGGACTCGAGCTGAGGCTGCTTGGTCTTCTCCAACCCCTGCGGCCCAAGCACCACATCGAAGTGGATCGTCTTCTCGGTGTGGTACTCGGAGAAGTCCTCGAACAGCTTCGCGCCGTCTTTCTTCTTCTCGCCCCTGGGCAAGTTCTCCTCTAAGAACTCGCGATAATCCTGCGTCCACTTCCTCACAGGCAGCTCCGTGATGGAGGCGTTCTTGTCGCCAGTCATGGTGACTGTGCCGGTGACCTCGCAACGTCCCTCGCTGGTCGGCGAGCCGATTGTTCCTTTGAAACCCGCATACCACGGTTTCATGCTCTCCATCTTCTGGCCCTTTATCCACCGACGTAGGTTGTTGATGATATCCATCGGGTTGAAATTTGGCACGCAGGTGGCCCAACCAGTGCCGATCCCGTCCTGAGGACGGAGGAGGCTCGAAGCAGGCAAGAAGGAGATGGAGAAGCCTTGAGGCCCACACGAAGTTCGTTAGTGGGCCAAGACGAGTCGAAACGAGAAGCGTGTGGCCTTTCCCTCATTCCCGAAGCGGATTGGTAATCCCGATGCCTGTTCCCCTGGAGACAAAGATACACCATGCGTTGGAGCGAGGGGAGGGAGGGGCGGAGGAGCTCATGAGCCCCTCTCCCCCCATCCGCGCTCTCAGCGATCACAGCTGGCACCACCCTCACTCACCACCCCTCAGCGCTTGAGCCTTGATTACTGTTGCTGCTGCTGTGAGTCGCTGGCCCGAGAACTTGCCAAAGAGAGGATTCCCCCCCCCTTGCGGCAACATGCGACACCAAAAGGCGCCGGGGGGGCGTGGTGCGCGGCTCTGCCCCCCGCGCGTCCGCGCCATTGACGAGGACCATGGGCAGCACTGGGCAGTACCAGCTCGGCTCTATGGAGAGGCCGTCCTCCTGGAGGTAGTTCAGCACCGGGTCGTCCGCCTCTTTGAATATCGTCCTCGTCCACGGCGCCAGGCGCGTGTAGATGTAGCGCGCCGACGCCGCGTCCTTGCCGCCCTGGAGGCGCGTGCCGAACTGCCCCTGCGGGATCAGCAGGTTGACGTTGTTGGAGCCGACGAAGTCCTGGGCCATGCCCACGATGGTGTCCTATACGGGAGGGCCCCCGTACACCATCACCATGCCTGGCCAGGGCCGTCCTTGCCCCTGGCAAGGTCTCTAGGTACGCCCCCTTGGAGCGGGAGCAGGGAGGCTTACACACCATCCTAGGGCCCACGATGGCCCTGGCCAAGCATGGTGGTGTATAGGTGTACCCTCTGCGGGTGTCCGACAAAGACGACTCGCCGTGGTGGTAGGCAGCGTGCTCAGAGACGTAGCCTACAAGCTGTGCGACCTTGGCGTCGTTCTTCAGCTTGCGTTTGAAGCAGCCGAAGAGTACCTTCCGCTGGCTCGGCTTGAAACCGTCGACCACGGAGGGAATGGCTCGCACGACATTCGCTTTGGAGAACAGCACCAGCTCTTTGTTGATAAAATCCGTATAGCTGACCTCAGACTTGGTATGGTCTACAAGATCGCCCTCTTTGTAGGAGTTGATCCACTCCTTCCTGTCGTCAGCACGCTTCTTGTTGAACGCCATGTCGATTGCCTTATCGTCGTTCTGATCGCCATACGTGTAGCTCATCTTGTGGGTCTCGAGCTGGCTGAAATACTCTTTAGCCTCCTTTGCATTGCTGGTACCCAGACCCTTGTAGTATTTGATGTTGTAGCCCTTGCCATTCTCGGTGCTTTGCTTCCAGGCCTCGTACTCAGGGATGGTGTAGAAGCTCTTAGTCTCCTTGCCCTTCTTCACCTTGACGATCGGCGTGAAGAATTCCTTCAGGAACCCGGGAAGCTTTGCCAGGGAAGGCCACCAGGCGTGGACAAGATTTATGAGCAGGCCCTTGATGTGCGAGCCGTCGTGATCCTGGTCGGCCATGATCATGATGGAGCCGTACCGCAGGCCTTTGAGCTCGGCATCGTACTCGCGGTTGAAGTCGAGCCCGACAATCTTAATGATGTTCTGGATCTCCTCGTTGTCCATCATCTGCTTCAGCGTTGCGTCACGCACGTTCAGCAGCTTCCCGCGCAGCGGGAAAACGCCGTACTTGTCCCGCCCGATGACGCTGAGCCCGGCGACAGCGAGAGCCTTCGCAGAGTCGCCCTCCGTCAGGATGAGGGTGCACTCGGCCGAATTCTTCCCGCCCGCGTCGTTGGCGTCTTCGAGCTTCGGGATGTCGGTGAGCCTCAGAACCTTGCCCGTGTTGGCCTTGAGCTGCTTGCCGAGAGCCATTTTTGTCTTCGCCATGGCGGCCATCAGGATCATGTCCACCACCCCACAGTTTGCGACCTCTTCCAGGAACTTGTCGGAGAGCTCGCACTTCGAGCCGAACTTGGACACCTTGGTCATCAGCGTCTCCTTCGTCTGAGAGTCGAACGCTGGGTTCTCGATCAAGGACCTGACGAAGATCCACATGTGGTTCTTCACGTGGTTGGGCTTGATGTCCAAGCCGCCCTTCACCTTGTCCTTGCTCTGCTGCTTCACCTTCTCTATGATAGCCTCCACTATCTGGTCCGCCACGTGCGTCACGTGGGTGCCACCGCGAATCGTGCAAATACGCCGACCCCCGTTCTGCGCTGGTTGGGGGTGAGAAATGTCTTGAGATTAGTTGCTCTCCCTCCCCTTTCTCCACCCCCAGAATCCGACGAATCCAAGTTTAGGAAGAAAGGGGCTGGGTGAGGGGGAGACCGGATCTCCGGGGCGAGGTAGGGTTGAACTTATCAAGGCACTGCAGGGACCTCGAAGGCTCCGAGGTGGCCCAAGAGAGCCGAACATGGCCTCCAAGATGGCACAAGGCAGTTCGGGGTGACTCAAGGTCGCCTTCAGCATGCGTCCAAGAGGGCCCAAAGAGGCCCTAAGACTGCTTCAAGTGGCCACGCAGCCCTCCCAGGATACCCACGACGGGCCAAACTTGAGTCGACACCCAAAAAACAAACGACGATGTTGTTTGTCAATGACTTGGGTCTTCTCGTCTCATCGCTTCCGACGACAAATGTTGGTGTCACTGTATGCTTGCTCACTTATTTTCTTCCGACTGTACCCCTTGGCATCCTTTCTGGATGGGCTGCTGAGGATTTTTTGATCGCGAGCGAAGACGGTACAACCGCGCGCCGTCCAAGCTATAACTTCTGAGGATACGGAAAGCGTCAAGAATTACATGTGTCCTTCCATGGTTCGGGGTTCGGCGAAGTGGCGAAAGCCTCATGGATAGAGTTCACAAAGCTCACCTGATTGAACCCGCTTTCAGTGAGGGAAAAACATACCTCCCACCTGTCCGAACACCTCTCGAAGACATGCGGCACGCCTTGCCGAGTGAGCAAGTAAAGGTCGGTATAGTCACGAAAATGCCTGATGTCGAGCTTCTCCCCATTCAGGGTCACCGTGCACTTCTCATTCGTGGAGCCCGCGATGTCGTAGACACGCTTGGTGAGCAGGCTCACGGTGTCGTCATCCAGCGCTGTCATCCCGAACTTGGCAAGGTCTGGTTTGAAGGTCACTTTGGTGTATGACTTCTCCTTGCACTTGACTATCTTCGGCGTGCCCTTCTTGCCCATGTTGCTATGCCAAGTCTGCGTGTACCTGTTCTGCCCGTCAGATGTTTCCACCTCGAACATGGTGGAGAAGACGTTGGCTAGTTTGGCGCCATAACCATTGCGACCGCCAACCACTTTGCAATCTGAGTCCTGGTAATTGTCACTTGTTAGGAGCATGCCGAACACCATCTCGGGCACATACACCTTCTGTTCCTTGTGCATAACCACGGGCAAACCCTTGCCGTTGTTCCACACTGCAATGGTGCCTGCTGCCTGGTCGATGTCCACCTTGATTGCGTCCATGTTGAGGGGGTCGCGCATATAATTGTCGGCCGCGTTCACGAGGATCTCGTCGAAGATCTTGTACATCGCAGGGACGTAAGAAATCTTTCTGTACACCATGCGGCTCTGGACAGAGTCGAAGACCCAGAGCTCCTGAGACTGCGCCTCTACCGAGCCGACGTATGTGTCCGGCCTCATCTGGGATCCAACATACTGGTGGCAGACCGTGCCATGCCCTCGAACCGCCGAAGATCTCACCGCACCGTGCGTCACCACACGGTTTTGGGACTTCGGAGGTTTCAGACACTCGAGACATCCCACGGGAACGACCCAAGTCCAAAACGGGTCCGCTGACCACTTGACTCACTGGACGGTGTGGTCGCCACACCGTTAAGGCGCCCCCGACCTCAGCAGAATGTGCTCCAGTTGGGTCTTCTTCTGGTAGATCTGCTCGATCGACTTGCCCTCGCGCCCCTTGGCGTGCGACAGCGAGCCCGACGCCATCCCTGGAGAGCAGTCGGCCGACCGAGAGAGCCGCAAGGGGCAACCCGTGAGCCAGGGGGCATGCCAGAGAGCGACGGTGGGAGGCTGCTCTGGACCGCCAGGAAGCATCTCCAGACTTCCAGCATGTTCCATTTTTAGATGAAAAATGTAGACGTTTCACCAGAATCCGTCTGTGGATACAGTTGTCGGGTTCCAGGGCGATCCAAAAACGATCTAGCAAAAAAAACGGTTCGCTGGGCAATGACCGAAAGGTCCGGGGAAACGCACCTGCACCGGGGCACGACTCTGAGGCGGCCGATATGGATAAATATATATATATATATACAGATGTACATATATATATATATATAAACATGTGTATAACTACTTGCTGGCGGTCAATCTTCGCCTGCCTCTCCGCTGGGACACCGCCAAGCCCCAGGCACGCCCTACTGCTACTTACGCGCCCAGTGGTATCGAGCAGGGGCGCCGCATGCACAGCAACATTAATAAGAACATGCCATGTACGGGCGTCGTCTTCCATATTCGAATCCCCAAGAGTGCACAAGGAAAAAGAACAACTATGATGAGACATGTACACGTTACGATGCAACCGAACGAAACAAGATACTGAACTCGAGCAACTACGAGACCTGACTCAAAAGCGTGCGACTACGCTCTTCAGTGTGGAGCATGGCTCCCTCCCTCACCACGCGGGCACCAGTGCGGCAAAATCGTAGAACTCTGTCAATGAATCCAAGCCCACGCTAAGTTCGACTCATGCTGTTGGTGCATTCAACATGGACGTTGGACTCGAGAGATTTCTTCTGCGTTGCCACGCCTCCGAGCCAAACAAGACCTTGAGCACAACAAAAATCCACCTCGATTCAAATGATAAACACCTTGTGTGTTAGTAGATGTACCTATACGGCCACCCTTCGGGTGATATGGAGGTTCGGGGGGGAGGGGGAACCAACGTCCCATTCAATCGATATCGCATCGTTCAAACTCTAAATATCACAACAGATCTCACGATCGATCTCAGAATCGATTTCACTATCGATCTCACAACACATCTCACGATCGATCTCACTATCGACTTGACAATCGAACTCGCTACGGATCTCACAAGCAATCTCACGATCGATGTCACAACAGAGCTCACTATCGATCTCCCAATGGATGCCACCATCGACCTGGCAATCGAATTCATTATCGATCTCACATTCGGACGCACTATCGATCTCACAAAAGTTCTCACTATAGGTCTCGCAATCGCTCTCAGTATCAATCTTACTATCGGTCTCAGTATCGATCTCACTGTCGATGGATCTCACGGCCGATCTCACCATCGATCTCACGATCAATCTCACTATCGGTATCACGACAAATCTCACGATCGATATCACAACAGATCTCACTATCGATACCACGATCGATTTCAACATCGATCGCTCGATCAATATCACATCACATCTCACAATCGATATCACAATCGATTTCACGATCAGTTTGACAACCGATAGTGAAATCGGACTCACAAGCGATCTCACGATCGGTCTCACAATCGATCTCACTATCGATCTCCAAATCGATCTCACCATGGATCTGACACTCGAACTCACTATCGATCTCACATTCGGTCTCACTATCGATCTCACAGCAGTTCTCACGATCGGTCTCACTATAGATCTCACAATCCATCTCACCATCGATCTCACGATCGGTCTCACACCAGATCCTACGATCGATCTCACAACAAGTTCACTATCGAACTCACTGTCCCTTCCACTACAGATCTCACGAGCGATCTCCAAATCGGCCTCACAACGGATCTCACGACCGATATCACAGCTGATCTTACCATCGATCTCACCACAAATCTCACAATCGATCTCGCTATCGATCTCACCGCCGCGCCATCGACGGAGCACCCCGCGCCACCCAGGGGGACACCCCGCGCCGCCGACGGGGCACCGACGGGACTCCGACGCGCCCCCGCCGGGACGACCCCGGCCACCGCGCGGCGGGGAGGGGAGGGGGCGGACGACCGGCTCCACGGCCCCCCGCCACGGCGGCATCGTTCCTCTCGCGTGCCCACGCAGCCTCGCCTCGCCCGCACGCACGGCACGAGCACGAAGCCAGAGCCGATTTCCCGGCGTGGGGCTCGCCGTTCCACGGCGATCTCAGCCCCTCACCTCCGATGAAACATAGACATGCGCACCATGGAATTTGGAAACCTCGCTCGACCTCTACATTCCTCCCAGACGACTGGATGTGTCAAGATTTTGAATCAAGCCGCCATAAGGTCTGCTTCAAGATCTTCTTATATTCAAAGTGAAGGCGAGCCGATCGCCCACATGATCGGAGGCAGCTAGACCGATTCCGATCTTGAGTCCGAGCCGCCACCAGGTCCAACTCAAGAACGTGATCGATTTCCTGTGTTTCGTTTTTCGTGCCGTGCGCTGTTGCGACATCACCGAAATGGTCAACACGTTAACCCCAAGCTGCCACCAAGCTACGATACAAGATCCTCAGATGCCCGCGGTGGATGATTCCCCAAACCTCATGTGCTGTCCATACTGTGTTGTTGGGTCCTGGCTTTTTCTCCGCAGCTCCGCGTTTCCCGTCCTCCTCATTCTTCTCATCCTCCCCCTCCCCTTCCTCTTCCTCCTCCTCAGTCCCTTCCCGTCCAGACAACACGCGTGCCGCTCGCACTACGAGCCGAGTGCGACGAGATCGCAAAACAGACTCGCAACCCCAATCGAGAGGGGTGAGGGAGGGTGATGCACTGCGCATCGATGCACCCATCGATGTACCGCTCAAGCCGAGGCAGCACCTCTCCGTACAGAGGTGCGCAACACTCTTCCCCGCGGCACCCCACGGGGAGTGTCCGTCGCGCGGGCAGTGCGCTCCGCCCCGAGACTCCCTCGACATGTGCGACCCGGAGTGTATCAAACTCCGCAGCGGCTGCGCGGATGGATGACGGGTCGTTTTCAACATGGAGCTGTCGCCTCAGCGCTGCGCACATCCATACCGACAAGTCATGGAGCACTGGCGGTATGCGAACTGGAGCTCTCGCCCCAGCGCCGCGCACCTTCATCTCAAAAGTTCACCACAGCCGACAGGAATGGGCCACGGGCCGTCTCTTCAACATGTGGCCCTCGCCAAGGCGCCGCGCACACCCGCCTTCACAGCTTGAAACAGTCTGGAGAGCAGTTCTCTTTAAGAACGGAGCTCTCACCTGAGAGGCCCTTGAATGTGAAGGCCATAAGTCTCAGAAGGTGTACAGTCGGGGCGTTGACCTAAGGAACCCTAAATAAGGAATGAGGCCCCTTTTTTCCAAAAGTTAACCTTCGATTTCCTGTCGAAAACATAAGGAAAGCCTGAGGCAAGCTGTGAAACACTTAAGGAACGCGGAGCCCCTCCCCAACGAAAAGGGTTCCTTGTTCAGGGCCCCGACTGTAGTGTAGCAGCTGTGCGGATTAGAGGCTGGGCCCTTCTCAAGCTGGAGCTCTTCCTTGAGACCTCCTCGAAGACCAGACGTGCAAGCCAGTGCTACGGTGACACGGCTGGGGCGCGGCTGTGCTTCAAAACAGGGACCTCGCTGGACACCGCGCGGAATTGCACGATGGCACAGCTTCGTAGACCGGAACACGCGCCAGCAGGATGCAAGGCAGAAGCGGGGCTGTCGCCTGCATGGCAGGGCCGCAGGGTGCTAATTTTTGAAGGGGATGCCTCTTAGATCTCAGGAGTGAGGAGAAAGGCTTGTAAGGACTTGTGAGGGGGGGACTTGGGACGGGAGGATTACTGCAACATCGCTGATGCATCGTCGTTTCAATCTGGTCCTCCCCCCCGTGTTGTTCCGAACCTTTCTGTGTTGCTGGGTCCTCGTTGTTCGCCTGTCGCCCCCCCGCTCCTTTTCGGTACACCGCTCACAGGCATCGTGACCAACAGTGAGCGCCACCTATGGCCCCAGCGACACAAGTTCGCACGTCCCTCCCGCGCTCATTCCGACACACCCTGCACAAGGATCGTGCCCCACATGCAGCTCCATCTAAGGCCCCAGCGCCACGGTTCGCTTGCCGCCTCCCCGCCCATTTCGGTACACCTCTCACACGCTTCCTGGCGCACAGGGGGCATCACCTACAGCACCAGCGACACAGGTAGCATACCGCAACCCCGCTCGTTTCTTCGGGAGCTCCACCTCAGGCCCCAACGACACAAGTTCACATCCCGCATCGCAGCCCATGCCGGCACAATCCTCACACGTTTCGTGCCCCAAAGGGAGCTCTATCTACGGCTTCAGTCGGCAAGTTCGCATGCTGCCTCCCCGCCCATTTCGGCACACCCTTCAGGAGGAGCTAGACCTATGGCCCCAGCGACACAGTTCGTGTCCCATCTCCCTGCTCATTTCCTCGGGAGCTCCGCCCACGGCCCCAGCGACAAGGTTCGCATCCCGCCTCGCAGCCCATGTCGGCACACCCCATCACGCGTCGCGTGACCCACAAGGAGGTCATCCTACGGCCCAAGCGGCACAGTTCGCATCCCGTCCGCCCCCCCGCCCATTTCGGCACACCCCTCGCTCGGATCGCCCGCCACCTCCATCCACGGCCCCAAATAGAAGGTTCGCACGCCGCCTCCCCGCCCGTTTCGGCACACCTCCGGCACGGCTCGTGCCCCGCATGGGGCTCCACCTGCGGCATTGGCGGACAACTTCGCACGACGTCCCGCAGGGGAGCTCCCCGCACGGCCTTGGCGAGCGCGCTCGCGCGGGGCGCTCCGCCCGAGGCGGCACCCCTCCCCCGCGCGGATCGTGCCCCGCAGAGGATGCCGCGCGCCTCTGCACGCGTTTGCCCAGCGGCCCCTCGCCGCCTTGGCCCGCGGCACGGGGTATACGCAGAGGGGTGCACGGAGCTTCGGAGGATCAGGCCCCCTTCGCCAAGCGGATTGTTCCACCCCTCGCCCCCCCGCCCCGATGCACTGCGACGCGCCCAAGGCGCCTCGAGCAAGAGACCCGG